AATCCCATTGTAAATTACCTTACATTGCATAATTTCACCGAAATTGAATTACATTAGCAAGTATTAAGTATGTATCAAAAAAGATAATTAGAATTGTCTGTTACATTTGTTGCTAATGTACTTATCTATATTTCTAGAAAAAATGTGTCTAATTGAATTGATTTTTGTCACTTGGGAAAAATTTAGTTATTTCTGATAAATCATTTTTTTAATTAACTTTGTATTATTGAACATTAGTAGAGACAGAACTATTTGATAGTTTAAATAATGATAATTTTAGTATTTTGTATTTATTAATTTGAATTTAGTTATCATTACAGACTAATATCAATTTAAGAATCATTATAGATTAAATTTTACTAGATGGCCATCTTAAACTAACTTACATTGTATGAACGTGAATAGCAAAGATATTTTCAGTCTCATATCAAGTTTGTTGAAATCCTATAGATCATATTTCCAACTTCAGGTAAGTTGTTAATTATGATCAGATTGATATTTATTAATCGATTATCGACAATAGTTCAACTATGATAAATTCATATTCGTGATATTAAGTTTGTGATTTGCCTATTTATACACGGTAAAATGTTTTACTACTAACATTTAACATTTATTTTAATTAATATTTTAATAATCTAGGCTATACCACAGTTACTTATCAAAAGTGAGGAGTAGGTTGGAAACATTTTACGCTAATAATTGTTATTATCAATGGCTTTATTCAATATTATTTTTTTGGTACAATATAGAATAATCAGCACAAAGTATTTCAGTAAGTTTCCTTTTCTTATTTCTTGATCGATCCTAACGATAAATATTGAGTGATCACCAATTAGATATTGACAGTTCAAGTATCGACATTTGAATAATATTTATTCTTTTCAATGCATATTTCCAACCATGATGAAGTTGTAAGTCGTACAGTAAATGATGGTAAACTTTTCATAAACGCGCCTGCATAGGTTATGCTATTAAAAGACATAATGATGTATTAAAACAAACAAAAGAAACAGATAACTTGTTGAAATATCTAAATAACAAGAACAGGTAGGCCAAATATTCAAGCAGGCCGTCAACTTGTCTTTATATAAATAAATACTATTTCTAGAGTTCCAGGTCAGCATTTGATTATATTCGATTGAGATAAATGAAGATAGGGAAATAAATAAATAAACTCTTCACAATGCTACATTCAAACAATTATAGAAAACAATGAATTACAAAAACTCATGGGTTTTTAATATTATATCATTGAATAACAAATGGAAACATGAAATTCTTAAACGTACATTGTTCATAAGTATAATATTATATTAACAAGAAACTGAACAATGATTACATACTTGAGATGTTGGAGATTTGTGGCTCAGGTGGATGATTGTGATAGAGTTTTGTTCTCTGAGCCGAATTGTCTGGTTGTGGGGCTTTCATAGTTCCTCTGAACATCGTCGGTACAGTTTGCATATAGAAGTGCCGATGATGTCATTCAGAAGAACGATGAAAGCCCCACGATCAAACAATCCAGTCCAGAGAACAAAAGCTTCATCAAAATGATTATATAATCTAACATCACTGTCTTAAACGGAAGCTTGAAAGTTAAATGACTTTATTAAGAAACAGTAACATTAATAAGTATATTTATTTTTAAAAATAACACCAGTAATAAAGAAAATGTAATCATTACTGTACTGCGTCATAAATTTCACTAAATAAAACTAAATAGTTTACTTATTCATATGATATTTAGCAACATAAATAATAATAATAATAATAATAATTAAACAATGGTCTTCACTATCAGAAGGGATTTGTGGATGTCATAGTAAACTGAATGGTTGAGATCATGAGTCAGATGAAGCTAGACCACTATGGAAAACCTGGAAGCCCTGACGGCCTTTTCGTCCTATTGTGAGACTCCTCAGCAGTGCGCATCCATGACCTCGCCTCTCGAGATTTAAACGCAGGACCTATCCACGAATCTCGAGAGGGGAGGTCGTGAATTCGCACTGCTGAGGAGTTTCACAACAGGACGAAAAGGCCGTCCAGTGCTTCCAGGTTTTCCATGGTGATCTATCTTCAATTGACACGTGATCTCAACAATTGAAATTTTTTTTGCATTTGTCGATATGTATGATCCAAGTTATATTCCTTCTTTTTTATGCTGTTCATTAAGTCCTCAAAGTACAAGGGTAGTAAATTTGGTTGTCATTTATGCCATGCAAATACGCAAATAAATACTAATTATAGTACATAAGGTTGAATTATTTTCAATGAATTTTGTGATAATCCAATTAAATCGTCGATATTAAGTAAACCAGATTCATTATATATTCGAAATAAATTATCACTTTTTCTGTTGTAAATGGATAATTATTCGTTTGAATATATGTACAGTTACTGTAAGCGTATTAGTGCATTCGTACAAAATGATATGTTTTAGTGAAATCTTAGAGTATATAAATGAAAGTTGCATTAAAATCCTACTAGGGCGTGATGAAGAAGATGAGAGTATATAGCTTATGAAAATGAGAAGGCTGGAAAATAACTTTAAATAATTCAAAACTTTACATTCAAACTACTACTATACTAATAACAGTAGTTTGATAGATGTACTCACTTATATGTCTTCTGAAAATGATTAAGTGAGTAGTTGTTAAGTAAGAATTTCATTCCTTAAATAGGTCACTAATTCCTTAAAAAGCTTAGCAGTAATGTCTTATGTGATCACCTTCGGTGATATCGGTTCGAATCTCACAAGTAGTATAATTTACTGAAAACGGTAAGTACACCCAGTATTAGAAGCAAGGAAATTGAAGTCCTAGGGTTCAGCAGATCACAGTCCATTTTTCTATATTGGATTGCTTATAATCTAAAGAACGTTTGGTTTTTCTTAATTAAAGTGAATAGTCAGTTTATTTTTATTCACACATTTGACTGTTATTGAAATCTTTCGTTAAACAAAATACTTCAAATTATGTATGGAAGAATGTAAGTGCTATAACATGGTGATGTGCTAAATACAATTTGTAAGCAAGCATTAATAGGATCGATTCACAGAAAAAAACTGAATATACAGGATTTAACTTTGGGCTTATTTATTATTGTTATAGTTACCTTTACTGTAAAGTGTAATATCTCAAAACAACATTCATACAAAACTTCATGTTTGAGACTATTAGTTCTAATAAGCTTCATTTATCTGTTTAAACTATAAATTAGAAAATAGATCCTGGCAATTCAGAAATACTTTGTCAATATATTATGATTATTGTTATCTTTAAGGTTTCATAGTTTTATTAGAATGTTACGTTATAGTCAACAATAAGTTATGATCATGAAAGTACAGATACATAGATTTCTAGAAAATCACTTGATTTATTTAAAGAATCAAATATAAATGTCTAAATTGCTCCCCGGATTCAAAGAGTCAATAGTTCATTTTTAAGTGTTCTTCTTTAATTTTCAGGTAGACAAAATCAGAGTAGTGATAAATCATATTATTTTAACAAACAACTTATAGGTATAGTCAGACAACAATGAAGCTTTCATGGTAATACATATACCACGATATATATGATAAGCATCTTCATTGTTATATAACCTTAGGTCTGAAAGAAAATAATAAGTAAACCCTATAGATCAAAGATTGTACAAATAACTAAAAAAACCCTACCAAAGATTTTTATTATCGGTCTAACATATTTATCATGTTATATTCAAATTATTCGCTTCGTGTGTTTAGAATACTGCAGTTTAGAATATTGGGATTTTTCCAATTAATTATGTGTAGATTTTTTGAGCCTCAGTGATATATTTTTAAAACAAAATCGATAATAAATAATAGGAGATACTGATGACTCTTATGTTATAAGGAACAATGATACTAGTTACCAATGTAACGTAAAACTAATGGAGAATAACATATTTATCAATACTATATTACCTTAATTTAGAAATGAGTAAATTGCCTAAAACTTAAAATTTGAACTAGATTGTCAGTAAATACAACAAAAGTAATAATAATAATAATCTTCAGTTTTCAATGGATATTAAGGTGATATCCAACGATGATAAAAACCAAATTCATGACAAACAATCATAACGAACCATTCAACTAAATAATGCTTTTGTGACCATTAGAAATCAACTGATAAGATTAATGGAGTTACTATTTGTCATATAAAGGGTTTCAGCAAATAGATGATTGACTCACTGGTTATATTTTATCGTAATCACAATGAGAACTAAAGGGTTTAATGAAAACATTGAATTGGTCGTAACTGGAAAATCTTATATCAATTTTTTTGAAATAAAACAAACTGAAAATATTATTGTCACTAGTAAACATCATATCTTCATTAATGAAGTAGTCTAAATCTTTCTAATTGTTTAAAACCATAATATATTCATATATTAGGTTTGAAAAATGTTTCACATTTACCAAAACGTGGTATTTTATGCAAAAAAATCATTATCAGACGTTGCCTACAACATTTTGCCTTAAATGAAACTTTAATTATAAAGATTTTAAATAACTATTTTAGACTCACAGAAATGTTTTAAATTAGTAAGCTTTAATCTTACTTTGACTTTCATGTAATCCAATATATAGGTAAATCTGTAACAAAAGAACACTTCTATCCTGATCCATTTTAGCTGAATATATTTAGTGTTTAAACCTGTAGAAGCATTTTATATTTTTAGAAGAAACCATTATCAAAATTTTATAATATAAGCTTACTATTGGGACTGCTATAGTTATTGTTATGTTATAACTATCTACCAGACAGTCTTTTACCCAACATGATAGCCAACTAAGTTTTTACCAATTTTTCTCTATAGTAAAGGAGGCAAGTAAACATATCGCCAGTTTCATCACTATAAATAGTTAATACTTAAAATGTTTATATACTTATATATGTAAATATACATAAATCGTTTTAAGCAATAAGCATTTCACAACTGAATATTATCTAAATCTATAACAAATAACTTACTGTAATGATGATTGATTGTTGTAATATACAAAGTCAAGATTAAACAGGTTTGAAGCAATTTTAACACATATTCTTTACACATAAATAAAATCATACTTTGATTAATTCACTATCTATCATATACAATTGAAATGTACCTCATCAATCAGTTGCATTCATATTCTTCAAATAATGTATATATAGTTGAAAATAACATCAAATATTATGCTTTGTTGTAAATAAACAATATTTATCAAGTAAATGTGTTGTAATTTATTGTTTTGTTCATCTTTTATGCTCCGTTCAATATAACAACATAATGCTTTCATTTATGAGTTTATCCGGATTACATGAAATCCAATTAATTATCAATGTCATTTACACTTTTAAAGAAACAGTATTCCTCGACTGTTTACAAATTAATAACTATTCAATAAAATTATATTAATTGTAAATAAATGAATAAATAAACACCAAGTTGATCCATTCTTTATCATTGGTCTTCTTGATAACAGTGAACATATCAGGTTTTTTCTTGTACATTTATACATCTAGTTCTTTTTCGTTGCTAATTTTCTTTCAGAAAAAAATTTATCAAAGATAATTTGATTTTATCCGTTTGACAGACATTAATGTTTGTCTCTGGACTATTTTAGAATTATTTTCTTTTCCTGTTTTTCTTTCATTTTTATTCATTCATTTATGATGTTTTGTTTGTTTGTTTTTTCTTTATAGGTATGACAAGCATAAACAGAAGAGAAATCTCTTCTCCAATTCGTTAATTTAAATAACTTGAAGTGGAAGAAAAGCATAAACATCAAATAGTAAGGAAATAGCAATAATAATATGAATAAGAATAACGTTAGTAATAATAGTAATGATAATATAAAAAACAATTTAAAGTTGGGCTTGAGAATTCCTACTACTACTTCTACTTCTACTACTACTACTACTACTACAATCACTATTGTTACTGTCGTCCAATAAATACATGTATTCCCTCATTGGTTTATTTTACCTGACCTAAACGTTGGTTGGCGAATTTGTCTTTTTTTATGAGAATACTTCAAATAGATGTAGTAGCCAAAATATCTAGTTATTCTTTGTTGTTATGCAAGAAAAAATAACATAAATTTGTAGTCCATGTTGTTTCTATATACGCTATGACTAGGTAGTATTTATTTATCTGTTCATTATACTTTAGCTAGTGACTAATTTAGAGTGGTAGACAACGGAGTTCTAGTGAGAAACTGCGATCGACGGAATTCAACCATTTTGAGTGTGAGTCAGTCACCCAAGTTAATTGAGCGATATCATGAACTGATTAAAGTTAAACGCTCAAACTGTTGGATTTGAGCTTAGTTTAGGCGTTCAAACTCCAGACTTCAATTCCTAAGTTCGATCTACGTTTGTGTGGTGAATATTCACTAAGCAGATATTCTTTTAGATTTTTAATGATTATTTAACTATGATAAGTCCACAATCTCAAGTAAAAGTGACATTTCCCTAATATTGTAAAACTTTAATGTTTTTTTAAATTTCCACTGATGCTCTCAATGTACTTTACTTGTTCAAAATCAACCTTAAAATGAGATTTAACCATGAATTAATCTCGTTTATGCAAGAAAAATACAAATATCTAGATAACATTGCAATTAATTAAAATAAGGATTAAATGAAGTTTGACTTTTCATACTTTCTAACACAAATCTTATGTAAATAGAATTGATACTATATATTCATAATATAAGTTTTGAGTAAAACAAGAATGAATTAATTTATAAGCCTTCACAATGATAGACAATATTTATCATGAAATTATTAAGCTGTTAAGATTATTACTAAATAATGATACTAATATCAGTGGTAGCAAATAAAATGATTATTTTTATTTCGAAATAATTTTGGTGGAGTTTTGTTCTCTGAGCTGGATAGTTTGATCATGGAAATTTTATCATCATTCTGAACGAAATCATCAGCACAAACGTCAAGTAGTTTACGTGCAATTTGTAGTGACTTTGCTTCGTTAATCGATCACCTCGATAACAGCTATAATATAATTATCAACAGTGATTAAAATCAGAAGGAAGTGAGAAGCGGCAACTACAATTTATTAACAGATAGCCAACATCACAAAGCTATAAACACATCGGGCGAATTTGAAACAGAGAGGCTAATAACTATATACGAGCAATTACATAGGCAAATTTATAGTCAAATAGAATAAGGGCACATCAAAGCAAAGCAAAGCAAAACAAAGCTAGTAATATGCTTTGAGCACATATATATTTGGGGAGGAGGGTGGAATTTCGAGTGATATTTAAGCAGTCAACATTTTAGCTAGAGTGTGTCATGTGCTCTAATGATCATAACGCTACAAAGGAATATTCGAATTGTTGCTGTTCCAATGACATTGTTTGTTAAGTAAGTTAATAAAAGTGTTTAGCCGAATATTAACCTTAATCGAAATTGTTTGTAGGATAGTTACTATAAGACCATAATAAAACAAAATGGTTTGTAGTTTTTAGATAAGTGCTGCTTAAGATTAAGCAGTTATTTCAATCAATTTCGACAACTCTCTTGAATATTTGCAGTTTAATTTAAAAAACCCAAATAAGATCGTTTTCGTAAATTATAATATGCAGCTTGCATTGACTGAAAACGTTTTAATGATTGAGAAGTAATAAAATTTATTTTACAGTGCGATAACATATCTTCGTTACATAATAAACCATCACTTTTAAACTAAGGAAGAAATATTTAACGAAATAAAGGAACCTTAAGGTTGTTCAAAAAGGATGGTTAAACATTGTTAAAACTAAGCAAAATTTCATATAGAAAAATATTTCCCAGTTTTTTGGACTAAACAAATAATTTAATTTCATGGAACAAGACATTTTCCACTAGGTTTTCTTTAAATTATAATATATATGTAGTCCGTTTGTAGTTAGCATAAAAATCAAACACACGCATTTCACTGTTTTCAAACTGTCAGCTAGCAGCACCTTCTTCTATTTTGATGTTTATACCGAGAGTCGAACATATTACCTTTCGCTTTAAATGCCAATAAGTATTGATGTACCAAGATCCTTGAAATAAACGACGAGAAAACTCAGGCCCTTAGATTTATTATTTCGCGGTTATAAAAAAGTATAAATATACTTGGAGTCTTCCACAATCGTTTTGAATTTTATACAAGTTCGTTGGAAAAACTACTGCAAAGCGAGAGCAACAAATGAAACCATTTTATTTAGTGTATTTCAAATGTTCGTTGTACGAATTTTATGATTGAGAGTTTTTACAAATATAGATTTATGTGAAACATAAATGAAGTAACCTAACGCACTGATAAAAAAATAATCATAATTGCTTTTCAAAAACATACAACTTCAGTGCATGTTGAAATGGAATGAGTGAGACATAGAGATAATGACGTAATCAACTAAGAAGAACATCTATAAATTGTTAGTAGTAGAGTAGAAAAATCGGTCATAATTAGAAAAAATAGTAGTTACCAATATCATGATTACTTCGCTAATGTTGTCAATTTATCATTTTGTCTACATCACTATACATAAATTATAAACGTTCCTCTTAGGCGATTACGTCATCATCTTTCTGTCTCTCTTACTCCATTTCAATATGCATAGAAATTGTATGATTTTGAAAATTAATTATGATTATTTTTATTAGTGCGTTGGGCTACTCCACTTATGTTTCATATCAATCTTCATTTGTAAAATATTATATTATTGTTCAAATTTACTTCATTTTAAATATCAGCAAAATTATCTGGAATGGTAGTTCATTCGACTTATGTAATCGAACAGAACCAGTATTTCTATGAAAACAAACTGTATAATGAACGTGAGTAGTTTACGATATTTTATCTAGTGTGAAAATGATTACAAAGCATCAAAGCCTCCATGTGACGCTGCTGAGAAACCGTAATAGCTAGTTTTGGTGATTGACGGAGACCGAATTAATCCACCGCTCCTATAAGTAAGTAGAGTAATTATGCATGTTACTCTTTGTGGAGGAGTAACCTATGCTGACCTTATATTACTAGGAGTTGACTCTTCGAGGCTTTAAAAATCGTGACAAGCTCCCCGATGTAGACGCTCATTTTTATGAATTGGATGAGTCTCGACTTGTGTAGTTTATGTACATAGGTTTGGCACAACGAATGTAAGATAAAATAATATCTGCCCCTGACGCGACGTTCGAGTGCCAAGGCCAGAGATCTTTCCATGAAATCACGTTCATGCAGTAGGTTTGTAGACTCAGAAGCGGATTCTAGCCCAAATAAGCCAAATGGCTTCACTGAGTGAAGCCTCATCAACCTCGAATGGCTGTAACACCCCATTGCACAGAACTAATGAATAAAAGTTTTAGATCAATACCAATACGAATGCTGTAGGAACTGAAGTTATTAAAAATAAATCGGAAAATTTTAAGATGAGTGCTTTTTCAAAACATCAGTATATAATTTTCACACATTTCCAAATTCTGTGGATAGTTGTTTTTATATAAATACAACCTTGTCATTGTAACTTGATTACAAGGCATATATAAGCATAATTTTATTCGTAGGGGTTCGAATCTTCTATCTGTTAATATTGTATAGACTCAATTAGTCAGTGTCTTATGGCATACGTATGTATTAAGCGGATTGCCTCGATAGTGCAATTAAGTGACAGGTAGTTTTAAACAAAGTTTGACATTTAATTTCACTTGTAATGGTTCGAATCTCCTTCTTAATGGGACTACTGAGGTTATGCTATCAAGACAATCATATGTTAAAAAAACTAACCAACTGCAGTTTGTAAAAATGAACAACCGAATAGTTCAAACAATTGCATATCGAATTATAAATACACAGGTTCATAGATATTTGAATTTACTAACAGATTACATGGTTATCAATTCTGCTTCGAAACAAAGTTGATGTGAGTGGAAATGAAATTGTCTAAACAGAAGTAAGTGAAGGAGGTTTCAAAAATGAAATTTGAACTCTTCAACCGCTAAGTCATCGATTCTTATCACGTGCACTTACTGATAAGCTTTTTCATTTATGTTCTTGAGAAAATAATTTCCGTGGAGTAATTATGTCAT